ATATTTTCTATACTTATACTCAAGCATAATCGGTAAAATACATTTCTAGTTCACTACTTTTGGCCAAGGGTAGACGCTAAAATTGTTTTCAGAAATCATTTTAAAGACAAAATCTGAATGTAAATCTAAAACCTTACATGTCTAGCTACTGGTAAAAAAGTGGGATTCCAGGCTATAGATGGTGACGCTAACGTGTGATCTGCAGCTCAGATCATCACACATCAGGTCAGACTTAGGAGCAGAATGCACAGAGTTTGTGTGTGTGTGTGATGTGAAAATGTTCAATATGTTCCATCAAACAGAAGCCACACAGGTGCAAAAATACAAAAAAAAACTAAATATGGCAAATGGCAGAAATCAATTCAAAGTGGAATCAAAGATTTGGAGGAAGAAAACTCTTTTTTTTAAGCAACAGCAGCAGAACTGCACAGTGTGATGTATTTAATGCAGCCCCCCTGCAGGGAGCATGTTCCCAGGAGGCTCTGTCTGGGTTTGATGGCTAATTGGAAAGATTTAACCAGAGAAATCTGTACGGGGAGAAAGGCTCTGGCTCACTGTCTCTGCTGCGCTGGAAGGAAACCAAACATTTACATGCTCATTATCGTCTGTCTGACTTCTAAAAATGACACATGGTCACCTTAGTGATACGGAGCCTGGGTTCTTTCATCAAAACACATCGGAGCACAGAACAATCTGCTTGTTTGGGATAACTTCAGTATGATGTAGTCTACATGATCTGTGACTTTATAATGGAATCACAGGGGGTTCCCTGAGGAACCAGTTCTGTTCCCTGGAACATGGAAGCCATTAAAATGTGAGAAATGTTGAGACAAATAAATTAATATCACATTAATAATAAAAAGAATAAAGACAGTCATTTTAATAAAATGCCACAGAATCAAAGCCTGCATTCTCGAGTATGACCAGATTGTCTTCCGAGCCTCCTTCCGAGTAACCTCACGTGCCTTCTCCCTCTCCTTACAGATCCCAGCCTCCACCTACAAAACCTACCATAACTCTGAACTCACGCCTGTCTCTCAGCTCCCCAGCCAAACCTGACCGATCCGCTCTCCTCCGCCCTCTGCATCCTCCCGGACTCCATGGATCTCCCGAGTTTCATTCTGCCCCGCTCTGCTCCTGCCAGTCACCTACCGACCGGACAATCCTCCTTCCCGAGTCCCAAACCTCGCTCCTAAGAAGGCTTGGACTAAAGAGACTGGACAGAGTTTTCAGATATTCGCCTCACCTTTTTGATGGTGCTCTTTTAGTATAGCTTTGATATAATAAATTATTGTTTACTCACCGTAATCCCTGTGCTCTGAGTTGATTCTGAATGTCCTGGGTCAGACGGCTAAAACCCAACATGACAGAATCATCCAGCCATCAAATGTCTGGCTCTTCATAATCAACTCCTCCACGTCTATCAGGTCTGTTAACTACGCATGCCGACAGGATTCAGACGTTAACCGAACAAGTGGCTAACGTCACACAGCGTGTGTATCAGCTGGAGACACTCGTTCAGAAGATGTGTGAAAGGGCCGCCACCCCAGAACTCTCAGCCCAACCCCCGTCTGTTTCACCCGGCCCGGAAGTCCCGGGAGCTCCAACGTCTCTGTTTTTCTGAGTAGCAGATTCACCACCACCCGAGACGTTTGGCAGCGAATCTAGGAATAGTTTAGGATTTTTACTCCAGGGTTATCTCACTTTTGAACGTTCACGTATGTCCTTTATTATGGCTTCATCCAAGATCTCATACATGGCTGGTTTCTTACGAGGTAAGGCCTTGAGATGGGCCAAAATTAGAAGCCGACAGCTGGAGTTTTTGCGAGGTTCCCTAGCGGATTTTCTTACGGAGTTTAAGATAACATTCGGCGGGTCTGAGACACAAGCTGACGTCGCTAAAAAGCAATGGCACCTCCAGCTGGGACGGCAGACTGTTGCTGACTTTTCTCTGAACTTTAGGAATGTTGCTGCCGCTTCCACTTGGAATGAGGATTCACTCAAAGGGGCCTTCATTCCAGCTCTGAATGATAGGATTGAGGATCAGCTGGCTTTGTGCCCAGAGCCCAGGACACTTGAGGACCTTATCACTCTGGCCATCACCATCGACAGACAGCAACAGGAATGAAAAGGTACACAGCGTCTACCACTAACCTTACTCTGCTCCCGTTCCTCTCCCCAGGTCAGATCCAACACAAATTCTGAGGAACCCATGCAGGTAGACTGGGCTAGTTCAACACCAGAGGAGTGCCAACGCAGCATGAGAGGTGGATTGCACATCTATTGTGGCCAGGGTGGTCATTTTGTCTCTAAATGCCCGCTATACCTAAAACAGAGGGCCCACCAAAAGAGCCGAGTGTACTGGTGGGTGGAATTAACAGATAAGTCTCAGCTTTAATGGACAATCGACTACTTCCCAAGCACTTCTTGACTCAGGATGTGAACAAAATCTCCTCGACCAGACCGTCGTGGACAGACTCCAGATCCCCATCACACCTCTCTCAGAACCACTTCCGGTAGCTGCGCTCAATGGAGAGGCTCTACTGTCGATCACCCGCAAGACCGTACCCATACAACTGCAGGTATCAGGCAATCATTATGAACATTTGTTTTTCTATGTCTTTCCGTCCCCTCAGTCTCCTTGAGAAGGTGCAGTTGAGACACTTCTTTTGACTCCAACAATTAAAAATAATAACACCATCTTGTGAAACCAGGAACAGAAGTCCCACTACAATAAACGCAAGACCACTCTACAAAGGAAGGCAGGAGATGTGGTTCACATAAGGATTTTACTGTTAAAATATATTTAAAAAAAACTAATTAGTAGCTAAAATTTAAAGGATACTAAAACCCAGTGCTTTAAGTGTGTGTGTGCACAGCGGTGCTTATTCTAATTTTGACCTCACAGTATACCGGGACTTTGTTCAAGGGTACGGTGCAGACAGCAAGCTTTTCCAGTCATTTATCAGTCAAAATCTCACCAGTCGGGACCAGTCAGTAACTGGACTAATAAAGGAAAAGATCGAAAGGCATCCCAAACACATGCACTCAGGAACAGCACTCACATGAAGAGGACCCACCAGCCACGACTTGCAGCTCGGCCAGCCACAAAAGATAAAAAGGATAAAAGGGAGCCTTTTCGTCTCTCAGGGTGAACAATCTCTAAGTCAGGAGCAATCAATCAATAACCGACTCCAGAGCAGCTACTGCTGGGTTTAGATCATACTCAGTTGATGTGCAGAAATCCAGTAGACCCCTCTCTGGGGCTCAGTAACTGAATGTGGGCTGGAGCAGACCAGCATCTGGGTATAATGTGAGGTGGTTGGTTTTACACCGGGGACTACCAGTCATTTCCCATGGACGTGCCGCCTCGCTGGGCTGCCTGAGGGTGGGGGCAGTGCTGTGTGAAATGTCCTATAAGAAGTGGTTTGGTGGAACCTGTCACTCCACCAAGTCCAGCTGAACTGATCTGTTGTTAATGGAGGTCAAAGTGAATCATGTGGATTTCATCCTCATCAAACCATCCAGTGTCTGCTAATGAAAGAAGCCGCTTTCATCAGGACAGGTGTGATTTGTCTTATTTGTAGAGATTAGTTTTATCTGAGGATCCACACGTCCAACAGAATTCCATCAGACAAAGGTCTAGGATTCAAACCTGCGGCGACCTTGTGACGTAACAACCCCTGCTTATGGTGACGCGAAGCCTTCTGATCAAAACCATGGTCGTTTTTGTTCTGCAGACCAAGTAGGAGTATCCAGGACTCGTGTTGTGTTTCCAGGGGACTTCTCGTATCACAGCAGCAGATCCCTCAAATAAAAAAACAACATATTTTAGGAGCCGAGGACACAACTCAGCTGTTTTAGCCTCTGAAATACAAACAAGCACAGAAAAGAAACAGATCTTTCAGTTAAATTTGCACATATAGAAACATGCAACGAACCAGGTATCTGGTGGATTTTTCCTTTTGTAACAATTATTAATATATAATTAACTAAGTAATGAATCTTATGTAATTGAAAGCTTAGAGCCAACTTTAGGAGGTGGAATTTAAAAAATATCTTACATCAGAAAAACAAACACAGCTAAATGTGTGGCTAATCCTTAATTCACTTGTTCTGAGCTTCCAGTGTTTCGAGACTAAGGAGTACGACTGACTCCTGACTGGAGCTTGTGCTGTGAGAAACCAGTAACCATGCTGGCTGACCTTATCTGCTCCTGAAAGCAAGCAGGACAGAAACCAATGGCTGTGGTGAAGAAGTGTCATTATCTAACCCAGGGGCAGACATTCCTGGTCCTATCCAGCATGTTTCAGATGTGTCCCAGTTCCCTGCTTCTGTAGAGCCTGATGAGCTGCTGCACAGGTGATTCAGCCATTGAATTATAGTTGTTTTGGAGCAGAGAAACGACTAAAACATGCTGGATAGTGGCACTAGAGGACCAGGTTTGCTTAGCCCCGATCTGACCTTTTAAACTGTAAGATTCTCACAAATCATATCATCTGCGTTTTAGAGCTCATAAAGGCCATAGATTACCTCTACCTGTAGTGATCCCTATGGAAGTTCTGCTTCCAGCTCTAAAAACTGACAATAAGGAAGAACCAGCAGCTAGCGGTGGCTCTTCCACAGATACAAGGAATGAAGGGGCTTCTGAGGAACACATGTCAGCTGGCAGAGAAGATGACTTCTAGTCCTGTGAATTAGTCCCATCAATGGTTGCGGGAGGGGAAGTGTAATTGTCAATTGTTTTATACTTGGGGAAGGGGGCTGGGATGGGAGTATGGGATCTATGGGGCCATTTTAATCTGTGAAGCACTTTAAGTTGCATTTTTTTGTATGAAAAGTGCCATATAAATAAAGTTGATTTGATCACCAGATTCAATCTGATCTGTCTTTTATGCCACTTGCTTTTAAGTGGCTCCAAAATGGATTTTGGCATGTTTCCCACCCCCGGACTGAGAATGGTTTGAGAAGTGATCAGAGCAGACAGAGCACAGAGGGGAGCCAGGGGCAGTGATGCAGAGCTGCACACGTTTTATTAGGCATGCTACAGAAGTCATGAGAATACAGCAGGGACACAAAGAGGAAACAAAAAGTCCAGGAAACCCTTCTGCACTTATTGGAACGATGCAATCTTTATAGGTTACTTGATGGAATTCGACAGAACTCAGATTTCTGACCATGTGCCTTAACTCTCATCTAAAAAAAAACAAGAGAATGTGATACCAAAGATTTAAACATGTTTTCTCAACACTATAAAGTTAGTTAAAATATTTTCCCTCCCCAAGTTAAAAGGAGTTAAGGAGGAGTCCCTAAAGGCACAGACGCTTTGGTCCAGCTGAGTAGCCCTCCCATGCAAACTGTCACATGACAATAAAATCACAGTGGGACACGGAAACTGCTTCCACAGCATGCAATACTCTCTTATCATCACAACGCTTTCCTAAAACAACATGGTCACTGATAGCTGCAGCTCACTGTCATTGAAAACACAACTCTTCCAAAATGACAAAAAAAATAACTAAAAATAAAAAATAAAACTGTTTCAACAAGTCAAGTTTATCTTGGTTGATGACTGTGAAATAAAATGTGGAATAATGGAGTTACAGCACCTGGCAGGTGTTGTAACTCCTTCTGCTGCTGCTCAAATGACCACTGCCACGGCTAACACAGACCCACATCGTCAGCAGGTTAACGACTACCTGGGTCCAGCTGTAGAAAGTTACTGTCAGGTAAGGCACAGAAGATCTGTTTGTCTTTAATCAGAAATGAAACAATAGCGTACAACAAAGAGTCATTTAAACGTGAACAATCATTAGTCAACATTCTGCTGAACTAACAGGAAAAACATGGCATGTTCTCTTTAAAAAGTAATTTCAGTATCTCTAGGAACGCCAGAACAAATTAGTACAAAATACAATAGACCTATCTCACACATACACACAAGCACAGTCCAGTCCACTCCTCTGAACAGTAGAGCATCAGTCTGCTAGATGGAGGACTTGGAGAAGGAAACCCTCAGGTGCTGGTTGCCTCCCATGCTGTAGTTGTGAAGGTCAATCAGAGCTTGGATGGCCTCCTCCACAGTGGACATCTGGATAAGAGCCATTTTATGGTCTCTAAAAGAAACCAGATGGTGCTTTAGTCTACGTCTCAACAAACCCATTACACTGATTCTGATTCTATCCCAAAACCTGAGCCTAAACATCTACTGACACTGAAATTGTGTAGAGTTTGCATGTTCTGCAGGTCTGCCAGTTTCCTCTACAGGTCCAGACACTTGCAGGTTAACTGGTGGTTTTATGTCTGCCCAGGGTGTAAGTATGTCTATCTCTATAGGTGTGTTTCCACTATTGGAGCTTCAGCACCACTTTACCAGAACTACATGGCATGCTCGTGTCTCCATTTCAGCAGGCTGGCTAACAGGACCATTTTTAGGGAACTAATGGAGTACCTGCACTGGGGTAGGTACTTAGAAAGGACAATTCAGTAGGAAATGACATGGCAGACGTCACCAAGCTACCGGTATTTGTAAAACTGGAAGGGTTGCTGTTGAAATGGAATTGAATTTTGAAAGTGCAAAGTTAGCATGATCTCCCCATGCATGTGTAGGTTTTCTCCTCTCAGACCAAAAACGTGCACATTAAGTGAATTCGCTAAATTTGTATGTTGAAAATTAACAGTTGATTTGGGTAAAAACAACTGCTAACTAAATAAACAAACATGCTACTGCTGGTTAATAAACCAATCACTTGATTAAAACCTGTAAAGAGTGGAGGGCCAGGTTTAGAATCTAGGATACTTTGAGGTATTCAGTACAGCTTCAGAATATTTTTACTATTTAACTGTTGGTCAGTGACCTGGTTTTACTATCTTTTAGGCTACTTTCACACTGCTTGCAAAAGCACATCAAATTTAATTTTTTTCCCCACATGTGACCCACATCTGATGTTTTTTGACAGTCTGAACAGCACAGATCTGATTTTTTCAAATTCGATGCAGGTCACTTTCATATGCTGTACTGGTTCTGATACATATCTGATGTTTTTAAAGGCGACTGCAGTGTGACTGGTCACGCAGAGCATTGTGTGTGTTGACGTTCCTAAGGAGAAGCACTGACAAAAGGGTTCAGGAGTCTGTCTGGACATCCTGTTAAGTTTAGGAATTAAAAGTACAGAAGAGCATGAGAACAGGAGGGGGAGGTGCTGCTGGAGGGAAAGGTCTCACCGGTCTTGATCTCTGTGAGATCGGGGGGTTCTCCGTTAATTAATTCAATACTGGAATATTTTGGTGAATAGTAATTCAGGAAGATGGTGGGAACAAGGAGTAAAATAGTTTACAGGGTTTAAAACAATTTCCAGCCCAAAAAGAGAGATGTGTGATCCTGATCCTGTGGATAAACTGTCAGTGAAGGCTTTCACTTCATAACTCTACCTCTCCTGGTTCCGTCTCCACTGTGTGACTTCTTGTCTTCTGTGCATGTGGGTTGCTTTGGAGCTGTGGAGCATTCACACCGGAGAGTTTGATGCCACATTTCATAGTAAGAAAAGCCACATAAAAAAAATCGAACTTACTCAAAAAAATCAAGACCGGCAGTGTGAGCATAGCCTTAGACTGGTTGCCATTTGAGTTTTATTCTGTGGTGCTTTCTCTGCTCACACTTTTTTACTTTTTAGTATGGTGTTTTATGTTTAATTCATTTATTTATTCATCTTTCTTGTGATTCATTCACACAATTTTATCTAATTTTTGGGTTGTTGAATTCTGTCTTTTATTATGGAGTGCCCTGTTTCTTACTGTTCAGCACTTTGGTCATCTGTGATGCTGTTTTTA